CCAGATGGCCGCCTGGTGACTCAGCCACCGGCCTGTGGGAACCCAGGCATCCCGCCTTCCCATGCCCCCACACCCAGCTCATGCTCCCCCAGTAGACACATGGAAAAGGGCCGTCTGCTGGAGGAGGGCATGGCCACGGGTCAGGGAGGTGGGGCCTGGGGCCTCTCAGCCCTGTGCACAGCAGTAGCGGCGTCCTTCCACAGCCAAACCTAAAGGACCCTTCAAGCTGCCTCTTGGGGCATGTAGTCCAGAGTGGGCAGAGGCCTGGAGGCCTCCTAGGGCCATGACGACCCCCAGGCCTTAGCTCTGCCCTCTGGGTCAGCCAGAATTAGAGCCAGACACGGAAAGTGAGAGCCGGATGGGCCCGGAGGGACGTTCAGGCTGTTCAATGAGAAAAAAAAAGGGAAGTTCTGGTTTCTGAGCAGTTCTGTCCTGTGCCAGGCCCGAGCCAGGTGCTTGACACTGCGCTGAATCCTCCAGACATTGCTGCGAAGTAGGGACTCAACTCACAGACCGGGCAAGGGAGGCCCAGGAAGGCGGGCAGCCTTCAGAGGTGAAAAGGCAGGTCTAGAACCACAAGTCCTAGAGCGCTCCACTGGCCTGCGGTCAGCTGTCGGCACTCAGGGTGGACAGATGCACAGACGTCCTCACATGGGAAGACGAGAAGACTTAGCTGTTGATGACGATAGCAGCTAAGCTTTGGGGGCCTCTGTTGGCACCAGGCACCGTCCTCCACACAGACTTGACTGAATCATCTTGACGGAGAAGTCAGTATTTGAATCCCAACCATCACGGTCCTGTGCGCCTCGTGCTATCAGTACTGGTAATCCACCTCCCGGAGGAGGCCCAGGGTCGTCCAGGCAGCTGACTCACAGGAGAGACGTGTGTCCTGGTACCTGTGCTTATGCCCTCAGGTTGTGAGCACACTCCTACTCCAGGCATCAGCCCTTAGTGCACATTTTCACCATTTGATCATTAAATCTGTGGTATACTGTGCCGTACATAAATTTTTGTTTTAAGTGAACACTGTTGGATAGGAATTAGGGTGAGTCAGATGGTGGGAGACCAGCGTCTGTAGCGGAGGTGGAGGTGGAGCTAGTCAAGAGGAATGGAGAGACACTTCCCAAAGGTCACGGCCTCTGTGCTGAGGCCTGGAGGTGCCCCAGTGGCCTGGCCCTCGCTCCCAGGTCTGGGGTTGGGGTGGGTGGAGAGGCTGAGTCAGGAAGGGAGGGCCCTGCTGGGGGAGCGTCTCTCAGTGCACATCCGGCCCCCACCCCCAGTCTCCTGTCTGTCCTGGCTGCCACCCCCACGTCTGACACCTCTGTGCTTCCTGCCAAAGCTGACAGGGACTCCACAAGCCTCTAATGCCTGCCTGCTCTGTCCTTTGTCCTGCTTCTCTCCCTCTACCCCCCACCCTCCTCTCTATCACCCTTTCATTCTGTCTCTGCACCTCTCTGGCTGTCATTGTCTACCCTTTCTTCCTCGTTCTTCTGGGCGTCTGCCTCCTTTCTCTCCCTCATGGCTCCCTGAGCTTCCCTCACTGTCTCATGTCCCCATTTCCCCTGCCTTTCTGTTGGGGCCTCCCCTCCCTGTGTCACTCCTGCTTGTTTGCCCTCATGTTTTCCTATCCTTCTCCCTGCTGTCTTGGCCAGCCCCCGTCATATCCATCTCAATCTCTGTCCTCTCTTCTCTGGCTCCCAAACCCTGGAAGCCCAGAGAAGACATCCAGGTTAGAGGTTCACTGGTGGCTCCTGGGAGCCCAGAATGAGGGGTCACCTCCACCCAGAAAGGGGGTGGGAAGGGCAGTGAGGTTGCAGCCTGTCTGGCCAGAAGGAAGTGTCTATGCTGTGGCCTGGTCACCCCCCCCCCCCAACTGGCCCCCAGGACCTGCTGGGCTGCCACCACCCCCGGGGCTGGGACAGAGTAAACACTGCCGCCGGCAGCCGGGATATTTATACCAAGGGCTGGGCGCAGGTCCAGTGCCCACCGCAGCCCCTGCCCTGCCCTGCCCGCCACAGCCAGCCCTGAGCCAGCGTGGCACCAGCCGGCGAGGGGACATACCGCAGAGGCAGCCTCCACTCAGCCCGGAGGCCACTGGGCTTGCTGCCCAGGATGCCAGCAACTTTGCTGAGGACGCACAATTCCCCCTCCCCTGGAAACAGCAGCACAAAGTGCTCGTGAACATGAACACACATACACATCCCACTGCGAGCTCAAAATGCCCTGAAAGGCGATGCAAAATAGAAACCTACACAACTGCTCACACACTGAGGCCACCAGCCCACATGTGGGACGACACAGACACCACCTGCTCAGACACCCACAGAGGCTGAAAACACCAGTCCCCACGATGGGCGGATACACACACACACCCCGGAGAACGACAGCAAGCATGCTGGAGACACACCGTGGACACACAAACATGCTCAGCACACCAGCGGCGCACACACTGGTCACAAAGTATAACCCAGAAACAGCTGGCCCAGACACTGGGAACTGTCGCACACACATTGAAAACACTGCTCATGTGTAAGAAACAAAATACACACCACCTCTGGAAACACATCGTTCTCCCAGGCCCATAAACATACACAAAATATCCACATTTCAAGTCAAAATTACACTGAAGATACATAAACTCACCTGGAGGAAAACAGCAAAGATGCTAAGAAAAAAATTCAGACACATAACACGCCCCAGGCATATGACCTATTGTAACACAGACCTCCCAAATCACACGTGTCAGGACACAGCCCAGAGAGCACACCGACTTGTACAGCAACCACACACACGAGGAACACAGCAGTCACCAGCACATGGAGCTTAGCGCGTGCTGGGAACACACACACACTGAAAATCCCCTCACAGCCTGTGGGCACCCAGCTGGTATGTTAAGACCCCTATGCTAGACACATAAAACTCACACCACAAAACTTGGGGACACACACACACACAAAGGTCCTGAACACATTCAAATTCACATTAGAAACACAAGAGACCAATGCTTGGAATGTCCAGCAATTTAGGAGGCAATGGGCTGTTTGTCTCTCTCTTTCTGTTACCCACTGACCCCAGTCCCAGGCCTGTCTGGGGGAGGGGGGCAGGAAGGCCTGAGCTGGCCTCCCCTAACCCAGCTTCCTGCCCTCTGGGGGCTGGATAGGAAGCTGGGGCTTCAGCCGGAACCCAGGCTACCCGCCTTCAACTTCCCTCCCTGAGCCTGGGCTTTGGGGGAGGGGAGAACACCCTGAACCCCGGGTCCTGCCCATGCGGTTAGCTGGGGGCCTGAGATGCCTTATCCCTACAGGCCTGGCCACCCCAGCGAGGAAGGTGGGGGCAGGAGCAGAGCTCACGTGGTGAGAAGGTGCTGAGCCCGAAAGTTTTTCTGGCAGCAGGCAGGTGGGCGGGGTGTGTCAAGAGGGCGTGGCCAGGGCTCAGCACTGGGAGTGTGAGTGAATCCCCAGGGTGCAGCCAGGACTTGTCCTGAGGCCCAGGCACGAGCTGGGCTTGTGAGGGCCACGACCCTGGGGATGTGTCTGGGTTTGTGGGACTGCTCTGTCTGGGACCAGACCGGGCTGTGACAGTGTGTCTGGCTAAGACGGGTCAGCTGCCTTCTGCAGGGCCATGTGGGACTCCCCAGGCCTGAGTGTGTGGGGCTGTGAAATGTCAAACTGAGTGGGCATGACCACCTGGCAGTCTGTGAGACCGTGACGTGTCAGATCTCCGTGTATGGTGTGTGTCTGGGTGGGACTGTGACGAGTCAGTTCGTGTGCCTGTTTGTGACTATGACCCCATCCATAGAGGATGTTTGTGTAAACTGCTGGTGGCCTGTTTCATTTCCTTATTCTGTGAGGTGTGTGGCACAGTCTCTGAATCTGTATCTGGTATGTGGTGGTTGTGACTGTGACCCTACAGGATGTGTTTGTGTGGATGTGTTTTGCTGTGTCCCTATTGACATCTCTGCTTGTGCTGGGTCCCAGTGAGGCTCCAGGCTGGGCTATGTAATGGGGTGTCACATGTGGGCTATGCCTGCTGCCAAGTGTCCTGCAGGAGTTCCGGCGTGTTCATTGTGGGACACTGTCCATGCTTCAACCCCTGTATATGTGAATGAATGTGTGAACACATGTGCCACATCCTCAGGGGCCACAGTGACTTCCATGTCACTGTGTCCTTTCATAGGAGGCCAGTGACAATGGCTGCATTTCCTTGAATAGTGAACTCCTCCTGCCCCCACACTACCCAGCCCTCATTGCTCCCAGACCTGTGGCAGGTGGAATGACCACATTGCTACCCCAGGCTGGGCTGGTAGGATCCCAAGGCCCACTCATTCAGACCTAGTGCTGCCCAAACCTCCCCCTTCCCCCGGGCACCTCTGCGCAAAGCAGTAGTTCAAGGCCTGGGACCAGGGAAGGAGGGTGGGGGCCAGATGAGGGAATTGAAACCGGGGAGGAGGAAAGGAAACCAAGATGCCAGAGAAAGAGGAAGCAAGGGAGAATTCACAAGCAAGACCACAGCAGAGGGGAAGAGACAAGGCCCAGAGGGAACCCACCGGCCGCAGAGTACCAGCATCTCTCACCTGAACCCCTGCTGTTCCTGCAGTCGCCCACGGCTCCATTCAGTCTACTCTCCACCATCAGCCAAAGGGATCTCTAAGCACCGAAGTCAAATCATATCCCATCTCTATCCAGAGTCTTGTCATGGCTCCATCATCCCCCAGGTACAGATTCTCACAGGTTCCCACCTCCCCCAGGGCTGATGTGCCCTGCAAGCAGCACCAGTGCAGAGAGCCTTAACTGCCGCTGCCTGGTTTGAGTGCCAGCTCTGCTGCTTGTGCGCTAACAAGTAACCTCTCTGTGCCACAGTATTCCCATCTGTAAGGTGGTCTCTGTTGCAGGAGTTGGCAAGATTTTTCTATAAAGAGCCCAATAGCAAAGACTTTTGACTTTGCATACAGTTTCTTCTCGACTTCGCCCTTGTAGCACTAAAACAGCCAGAGACATGGCTGTGCTCCAATAAAACTTTATTTACAGAAACAGGCAGCAGGTCAGAATTTGCCTGCAGGCTGTAGTTTGCCAACCCCTGCTCTGCTGCGCTGTGGGGAGAATGCAGTGAGCTGGTAGATTCATACCTGGCATGGAGGATTATCACTCTCTGGCCTGTGGGTGTTACCATCTGACTCAGCTCCCAACACCCTTCCCCTTGGCCCTCCTTTCCAACCACACTGACCTTGTTCCTCCCTCCCTCACCCCAAGTTTATCCTCACTCCCGGCCTTGCCTTCTGTCCTTCCCAGAACACACTCCCTCTTCCTCCCCTAAGCTGCCTTCAGGTCCCAAAAGCTACCTCCTCCAAGAGATCCTCCCTGTCCCATCTCACACTCCATCCTGCTTTCCTGCCTTCATGCCATTTACAATGTCTGTCTCTTCCCGGAAAAGTAGGTTCCTGGTGGGCAGGAACGAGTCTCTTAACCTCTCTGGACTTGAGTTTCCTCACCTTTAAAGTGGGCGTTATAAGAATCCCCAGAGCTTGTTATGGTGAGTGAGTTGATTAACATAAGCACTTAGAACAAGGCCCAAAGTGCTCAATAAATAAATGTAGTGCTTACCAGGAGTACCTGGAACATAAGAAGTGCTTGGTAAGTGGTAGGAGGGGCAAATGAAAAGTGAAGAGAGAGACAGGAGGCGGCAGATGGAGCGGGAGTCCAGGAACATCGGTAGAGACCCTGTCAGCCAAGGACACCGAGACCCCAGTCCTCTCTCCACCTTTAATGGGCCCCGAGGTGGGCTTGGCCGGGAGAAGGGGGGTGGGGCCGGTGTCCTTAAATACAGCCCGGCGCGACGGGCAGGGGAAGGGGAGGCGGGGCCGGGCCTGCCGGGGCGGGGCGGGAGGGGTAGGGGGCTCAGCTGCACTTGCAGGAGCGCACGATCATGTTGGACAGCTGCTCCACCTTGGGCTTGCGGCCCACGTAGTACACAATAGGCAGAGGCTCCAGCGCCTGCGGCACGCAGCAGGGCGCCGCCGACGCGCCGGGGTTGTGCTGGTTGTATAGGGCCAGGACCTGCGGGCGGATGGGCGGGGTCAGGGCAGGGGTCAGATTGCTCCCATCTCCCTACACCTCTTCTCACCCCTTAGGGCTCAATCTCTGCCGCTCCGCATTTCCCACTCTTGATTTGTATCTCAATCATTCTTTCTCCTTCCATCTTCTTGTCTCTGTGTATCAACCTGTGCCTTCCTGCCTTTTTCATTCTGTCTCATCTCTCGGTTTCTCTTTCTCCTTCCGAGCTACTCCGTCCCGTGGGTCTCCCCATATGCCTCGTCTCTAACTGTGCAGACCGGTCTCCAGCTTCTCTCCCATCTCTACCACCCTCTCCAGTCTCTCTGTCTCTATTTCTCCCTTCCGCCCTTCATCTCTGCGTGTACCTCTCTCCCTCCCCTCCCTTGGTCCCTGCTATCGCCAGCCCGGGCCAGACGCACCTTGCTGTACTGCGTTTCCAGGCTCCAAATGTAGGGGCAGGGCCCCAGGCAGAAGTTGGCGTGGTAGCCCTTGGGCTCGTGGATCCATTTCCAGCCCAGATCCTTGCGGAAGTCGATGTAGAGCTGCCGCACGCAGCAGTTTTTCTCCGTGGAGCTGCGGGCGGGACAAGGGTGAGGAATCCAGGTCAGGGCGACAGAGGGGCCTGCAAGGGCTAGCCATGCCCCTCCTCCTCTGTGTGTGTGTGTGTGTGTGTGTGTGTGTGTGTGTGTGTGTGTTTGCACCATCTCCATCTTGGTCTCCCTTGCACCCACAGTGATAACAACAGCCAACAGTTACAATACTGATGATGGCCAGCACTGATAAAGCACTTCCTCCAGTCAAGCACTGTGCTAAGAGCAACATAATAAACAGGGTCTCGTGCAGGGCTCAAAACAAGCCTGTAGGAAGCCAATGGCCATCCACAGGGACAGCTAAGTAAATCATGGCACATCCATACACTAGAACATGAAACAGCGCAGCTCCATGTGTACTGATACATCCTACATGTGCAACAAATGTTTACTGAACTAGTGTCTGCTGCCCTGGGATCTACAGGGACTCAGTACAAACAAAACAGACAGAAACCCCTGTCCTCTAGGGCCAAATGCGAGAGACTGTCATGTCGCTCTTCTGCTCTGAACATGGCCCCGCTTCACTAAGGACAAATGCCAGAAGTCCTCACCATGAACCACAAGGCACTACTGGATTTGGCTCATCTCAATTCCCTCTCCATTTTCACTCTACTCCAGTCATACTAGTGTCCTCACTGTTCCTCAAACGGTCCTACCTCAGGGCCTTTGCACTTGTTGTTGTCTCTGACTGGCTTACTGTTCACACAAATTTCTGCTCCAGCTTATTTCTTTACTTCCTTTAATTATTTGCTTAAATGTCCTTCACTCAGGGAGCCTCAATCCTAGAACACTGCCTGGCATGCAGTGGGTGCTCAATAAATAGTTAAACAAATTAATGTCATCTCTTTTTTTTTCTTCAAATTAATTTCAGAGAGGACGGGAGAGGGAGAGAGAGATAGAAACATCAATGATGAGAGAGAATCGCTGATCAGCTGCCTCCTGCACACCCCCTACTGGGGATCGAGCCCAAAACCTTAAACGGAACCGAACCTGGGACCCTTCAGTCTGCAGGCCGATGCTCTATCCACTAAGCCAACCCAGCCAGGGCTAATGTCATCTCTTTAGAAAGTCCTTCCTGGACCATCCTACCCAAAATACCAATCCAAAAGACAGTTCCATCCAGTGTAACTACAGCATTGCAGGTATACAAGAAAATATGAAAATGTCTGTGTCAAAAAAAAAAAAAGAAAGAAAATGTCTGTGTCTGAAGTGGGACAAAATCTTAAAACCTGTGGAAGCTGAATAAGAGTTCATTATACTATCCTGGTTGCTTTTATATACATTTGAAATTTTCATAATAAAAATCAGGATAGGAAAAATACTCTCCAATATCTCTTTCTTTCTTTCTCTTTCATCTGTTTTATTTTCCTTCTTGGAACTTTTAGCTATCTGCTCTTTTATTTATTTGATATTGATTTATCTGTTCATTATCTGCCTTCCTCTGAGGACAGGACTTTTTGTCTGTTTTCTCTCCCAATGTATCCCTAGTGCCTACAACAGTGCCTGGCACACTGTAGGCACTCTGCAAATATTGGATGTATAAATTAATTGTTCAATGGGTTAGGTTTTTAAAAAGCACATTGGAGCCCTGGCTGGTTTTGCTCAGTGGATAGAATGTTGGCCTGCAGACTGAAGGATCCCAGGTTCAATTCCAGTCAAGGGCACATGCCCGGGTTGTGGACTCGATCTCTAGGAGGGGACATGCAGGAGGCAGCTGATCAATGATTCTCTCTCATCATTAATGTTTCTATCTCTCTTTCCCTTTCCCTTCCTCTCCGAAATCAATAAAAAAAAAAATTTTTTTAAAGCACATTGGAGAATAGTGGTGTATAAGATGCTACTGTTCTGGATTTATGGTCTCTGTGCCATGTTCAGATCCAAAGGCCAGTCCTCCCAAGTTGGGGCCCAGGCTTCTGTTTGTTTGAAAGGACCTGGGCACTAAATGCGCAGACCCCTGGGACCATGGCTGAGATGGACAGAGAGCTTGGCTAAAAAGCTTGACTCATGGGCAGACAAGATCTTTATATTCCATGTTTATAACATGTGAAAGAAGCACTATGCAAAGCTACAGGTACTGTATGATCCAAATTCTGTTTGGCATAAAGCAACTGGAAGGAAATTTATTGAAATGTTGATGGTGATATTTTGTGTGTGGTATAATGAGTAATATCTTTTATAGTTATATTTCTATGGCATTTATACTTAGTATGATGGACAATATTCTTTATCCTTTCCAAATTCTTAAGAGTGGATATGTGTTACTTCTAGAATCTGGAAAAAAAATGTAGTCCCTTCACTCCCCTCAAATATAAGACTATAATTTGGACAAAATAAATTAATATATGGCTATATGTAAGTGTCTCATGCAGATACTCTTTGGAAGGAGACACAAATATAATAAAAGTAGCTGCCTCTTCAGTGAGAGGTTGGGGGTTAGAGCTGGAGGGTCTCTGAGATCCTTTCTAGGTTTGGTCCATGTGCATGTATTTACCTATTCAAATAGTAATCAATAGAGAATTCATCAATTCACTTCAAAACCCCGCAAGGCAGACCTTATTATTATTCCCATTTGAAGGATGAAAAACTGAGCCTCAGAGAAGGATGTTGCCTGCTCACATACAGTATGTAAGGGGTGGAGCTTGAGGCCAGGTTCACAGCTGACTCTGTGCCACCCCAGAGCTTTGGCCTCATCTGCCCAGTACAACCATGTCAGCTTGAGCAGAGGGCAAAGGAGCGATGGCACAGGCTCTCCTGGGGCAAGTCCTTTCCATAAGCCACAGAGCCCTAAGAAGGGAGTCAGGGAACTGAGACCCCTGAGCTCTGCTGGTCCCTCCACAGTCTGGTTAGGACTCAGTTTCCCCATCAAAGATGGAGCAATGTTGGATCAAATAAAGTGTTGATAACCTGAGGGACTAAGAGGTATCAGGAAGTCTATGTATGGGCTCAGGGAGGGTCCTGAGCCCCCCAAACCATATGCACAGAGATGTGTATGTATGCACATACTTCTGGGAGGAAAGGTGCCTGGCTTCTGGCTTCTCAGTGGGGTCCTGGACTCACAAAAGTGGAAGAGTCACTGTCCAGAATAATCTTTACTTTGTGTTCCAAATCTGACGGGTTCTGAGGGCTAAGATTTGAAGAGTCCGTGATTCTATTACCCAACTCAGCCATTCTCCATGTGAGGTCCCAGGATAAGCAGCAGTATCACCAGGAACTTATGGGGAATGCAAATTCTCAGGCCCTACCCCAGACCTCCTGAACCAGAAACTGGGGGTGGGAGGTGAGGGCTAGCAGGCCAGATTTAACAAGTTCTCCAAGTGGCCCTGAGGCACTTACACTTCAGGGCCTGCTGCATTCCGGGCCCTGTTATACACACAGGCCCTTACAAAGCTCTCTCATTCAGTCAGCCCATTAGGACCCAACAGGGCCTGATGAGTATAAGAAACCCAGGGCCCCACATGGACTCTGGGTGCTGGGGAAGGAAGGGTCAGGGAAGCTTCCCAGTGGAGATGGTGATTGAGCTAAGAACAAGAAGATGGTTTTTGAACCTCAAACATACACAAAAGCAGAGAATATTATATTGAACCCTCATATCTCCATCACCCAGCTTCAACATTTAGCAAGTCATGGCCAACCTCACTGTATCTCTGCCCCTACCACTTCCTCTCCCCATATCACTCCACCCATAAATATTTCTATATGTATCTCCAAGAAATTCAGTGCTATTTTAAAACATAACCACAATACCACATAAGACAAATTAATAATTCCTTGATATCATCAGATATCTAGTTAGAGTTCACATTTCCCCAACTGTCTCATAAACATTTTTTTTTTTAGTCTGCACAAATTAAGATCCAAATAAGGTTTACGCATTGCTCTTGGTTGATGTATCTCTTAAGATTGTTTTTTAAATCTACAGAACCATTCTTTATTTCCCACCTTGCATTGTATGTGTTGAAGAAACTAAGTCAGGTTTCCCACAATCTAGATGTTGCTGACTGCGTGCCTGTGGTGGTGTTTAACATGCTCCACTATCCCTATAGTTCTAGAAAACTGGAAGTTGGAGCTACCATCTTGATCAACTTCAGGTTCAATTTTTTTTTTTTTTTTTGCAAGACTTCCTAGGTGATATTGTGTCCCTCTCAATGGAGGCTTACATGGCTGGCTGCCTTTCTTTGTAATGTTATTAGCTTTTGGCACTCAAGACCTCAGATGTTCATTCATTCACAGAGTTGCTGGGCTGAGGGTAGGATCTGCAAGGAACTTGGGAGAAGAGCTGACTTTCCAGCTGGGGACTAGCACATGACAAAGCCCCAGAGGCACCATCAAAATATTAAGCAGAGGCCAGGCCGGCATAGCTCAGTGGTTGAGCGTCTACCTATGAACCAGGAGGTCAGGGTTGCGGGCTCGATCCCCAGTAGGGTGCATGCAGGAGGCAGTCGATGAATGATTCTCTCTCATCATGGATGTTTCTATCTCTCTCTCTTTCTCCCTTCCCCTCTGAAATCAATAAAAATATATATATTTAAAAATATATATCTATATTTTAATTTATTAAGCAAGGGAGGGGCAGGATCATATTATAATTCTAACCACAACATTCTAACTCTGAATTTTAACATTTTAGAAATCCAAGTTTTCAACTTTCTTGGACTGCAGTACGCCAGCACCTCAAGACACTCACACTCCAACATCATTTCCAACTTTCTAGGAGTTCCACATTCCAACTCTCGAGGATCTTGGCATTCTTGAATTCCAATATTTCAATACCGCATTCCAACATTCCAAAGTTCTGAGCCCATCATCACTCAAGAGGGCCAAGCTGCCACTGTCTAGATCCCAGCCTTCATAGAATGCAGCATGCTAACACCAAGCCCCAGTATTCTAGGGTGCCCATATTCTGGCTTTCTCCAGATCCCATTTGTGAATCCTAACATTTTAACACAGGATTTTATCCTTCTGAGCCCCAGATTCGAGGACTGCAATCTGCCAGCACTGGAGACGCCAATCTGTCAATAAACAGGAATCCAACAAGGGCAACCTTCCAATTCTGAATTCCCAAATTCTAGGATCCCAACACTCTTTGAGTCCAACACTGTTAGATTTCAATAACTAACACTGAATTCTAGCATCCTAGAATCCGAACACTCTAGGATCTCAACCTGCCAGTAATGTCAGAGACTGAATCCCCACATTCTTGGTGTTCAACATTCTAATAGCCTCTGATTCCCACACACACACAAGAAAACAACCTGATCTCCACGTTCTAGGACTCCCAGGTCACACATCCCTGCATTCTAGGACTCAAACCTCATCCCCTGAGTTTTCCAGGCTGAAGGAGATACTAGCCCGAGTATAGTACCAGCCAGGTGCCCACCCTGCAGCACCTGGTCAGGCCGCCCAGGCTGGAAGGCCTCAGTTTTCACCTGAAGCAGTAGTTGGTGTCCAGGGCTCGGCGGTGTCGGGGGCTGTGCAGGTGCTGGGCTCTCTCCAGCGGGGTGGCCATGAGAAGCAGGAAGGGCCGGTTCATGCCATGAATGGTGGCCAGGTCACCCCGGCGGCCAATACTGATTCCTGTTTTAGTTTGGGAGTCAGGGGGTGAGGGGTGGGGAGACAAACACACACTCTTAGGTGGCGAGTGGGGGATGGGCAGGGAGAGGAGGGGACACACACACACACACACACACACACACACGCACACACGCACTGCACACGGCACCTGCACCGGGACAGAAGGGTGGGCCTCACCGTTGATTTCCACATGGAGTATGTTATCTTTGCTGTCACAGGAGCAATGGGCACTGAGACGAAAGCCCTGGATTTCGCCTGTGAGAGTGAGGAGAGGGGAGCCAGTGTGAGGGTGTGGCTCACCCAGCCCCTGGGGGAGAAGGCAGGAAGGCTCAAACCCAGCTGCCCTCTCACTGCAGCCTCTTGACCCTGTTGCCGCAGCTCTCTGCCTTGCTGCCTCTCCCTCCACCTTCAGGTCTCAGTTCAAATGTCACCTCCTCCAAGAGGCCCTGCGGGGTGCAGGCCCCATTCCCACGATGACACCACTTTACTTTCTCCATAGCCCTGACCCTCTGGGTCCTTTGTATTTGGCTATTTATTTCCCTCATTGTTCTCAGTGGAGAGCAGGATGCATGGGGGCAGGGATCCTTGCTTTCTTGTTCCCTGCAGGGCCTGGCCCACAATGATAAAAACAAACTTCTACTGAGTGCAGGAGGGCACGCAGAGTGCCAGGCATGTTCTGAACACTCTGTGGGCATTAGACCCTCACCACAGCCACCCATGTTCCAGGAGGGGATGCCCAGGCACACAGGAAGTGACTTGCCCCCAGTGGGAAAAGGCAGGGCTGGGAGAAAGGCTTCTTGAGTGAATGGGTGGATTTTCTAAGCTCCTACTATGTGCTGGACCCTGTACTGGGTGCTCTGGGCTCAAATAATGACCAAGATAGGCCTTTGTCCAGTGGCCCCAGACACTCCTCCCAATGCCCACATGCTCCCTAACCCCCATCTTTTCATCTGGCCAAACCACCACTTATGCCACGAGTCTCAACACATTCACCCTTAACCTCGGGAAGCCCTCCTGGACCACCTCCTCCAGATGGGTTTGCGTATCTGCTCTGGGCTCCCCTCTTCTGGCCCTGATCATTCTAGTCATCACTGCCTGCTAGGGCTTTGGCAAGACTTCCTAGGTGCCTGGAAGTAATGGTGAGGACAGCGCCTAGAAATCTGCTTGGTTACCACTGTCTCCCTTGCACCACCACCCAGGCCAGGCACAGAGCAGGCACCTACTAGCATTTACTGAATGGAAGCATGAGTAAGAGGGATATTAGGAAGGGAGATGTGGGCACTGTGGGCTCAGCTGGGACAGGACAGAGGCCATCTTCTTCCAGACAGATTGGATGTGCCAGGCTCTCCCCCGAATAAAGGCCTTTGCATATCCTGTCCCTCTGCCTCCATCAGTCTTGCCCTCCTTCTTTCCTGGGCTGGTTCCACTCAGCAGACATTGGCTCTGCTGTCCAGGAAGCCCTCCTTGATCCCAGACTGTGCAGCCACCTCCTCTGGGCTCCCCATTCCAAGCCTGCCCACTCTGGGTCATTACTAGTTGATTTATAGGTCTTTCATCCTCTTCCCCCACCCCAACAATGGATCATGAGCTCTGTGAGGACAAAGATGGAGTTGTTTTTATCACTACTGTGTCCCCAGAATCACCCAGTACAGGTCCGGTGCTCAGGAAATGGATCAAGCCATTAATCACTCAGGTTTGAGTGTCTGGGAGGAGGGCCAGGTCCCGGCTCTTTGGCACCAACATAGGGCCAGGGGGGCGGGGGTGCTAGGTAGAGTAGTTGCAGGACAATGGGGTCGACCCCATTGCAAAACAGGGTGGGGCAAACAAGTGGTCCTCACCTCTGTAGTTCAGCCACTGCCGCACAACTGCAGTGACCTCAAAGGACAGCCACTCAGGTGTGTCGCCGGAATCCAGCACCTGGTTGCTGAGGTAGCGCCAGGAATTGTTGCTGTATTTCTGGGGGGTGACGAATAGAAAGAGAGAGATGGTGGGTAGATGCTGCCATGCGCCTCCACGTCCACTGCCTGCACCCCCACCCCATCTGCTCCTCTAAATGGGCCTTCAGACAGTCCCATGGACAGTTCCCTCCCGGACATCCATGCCCTGGGGGCCCACGGGAACCACCTGTGCCACAGAGAGCTCCAGCCTGGGGGTCGGCACCTGAGCTGCTCAGCCTCGGGCCCTGCTCCTCTTTGGAGCCAAGGAAATTCTTCTCTCTCTCGGCTTCAGTTTCCTTGCTGGTGAAATGTCAGGCCCCTTTGAGCTTGGACAGCCCACTGCTCAGATTTCCCTGCAGACATCCTGGGCTTCGCTCAGCACACATTTCCGCACATTTAACACCCTGCATTCTGGGTCTATATCACTTTCTAGGGGCTTATGTTAGAAGTCATACTATAACTCCAGGGCTTGACAGCATCCCAAGAATGACAGTCAATGAGCCCAGGAAGTTCTAAGACAGTGGTTCTCAACCTTCTGGCCCTTTAAATACAGTTCCTCATGTTGTGACCCAACCATAAAATTATTTTCATTGCTACTTCATAACTGTAATGTTGCTACTGTTATGAATCGTAATGTAAATATCTGATATGCAGGATGGTCTTAGGCGACCCCTGTGAAAGGGTCCTTCGACCGCCAAAGGGGTCGCGACCCACAGGTTGAGAACCGTTGATCTAAAAGACTAATGTTCCACAAGTCCAGGAGTTTGACACGCCATAAACCTAGCCTCTGCAGACACTGCTCTCCTGTGGAATGATCCCTGGTTCTGGACAGAACGCTCCGGAAGTGGCAGCATAAAGTTGGGGTCTCTAGATGCCAAGAAGTTAACATGAGACAAAGTTCCCTCTACTATCTACCATCACGTCTAAAGTTCCATATGACATGGATTCTAGGCCACTTGACCTTCAGAGACCCCATCTCTTCCAGAGGCCCCAATCTTCCTGAAGATTCCAAATTTTCTAGAGCTATCCAAGAGACCCCTTTGTCACAACAGAAATATTCTTTATCTGTGGTGTCCCAAATAGCTGATAACCACATGTGACTGTGGCTGCTTGAAATATGGCCAGTGGGACTGAGGAATTGAATTTTTTAAAAAATATATTTTATTGATTTTTTACAGAGAGGAAGGGAGAAGGATAGAGAGTTAGAAACATCGATGAGAGAGAAACATCGATCAGCTGCCTCCTGCACACCTCCTACTGGGGATGTGCCCACAACCAAGGTTCATGCCCTCGACTGGAATCGAACCTGGGACCCTTCAGTCCACAGGCTGACGCTCTATCCACTGAGCCAAACTGGTCAGAGCTGAATTTTGCTTTTAATTGTAAAAAACTTTTTTAAAAAATATATTTTATTGATTTTTTACAGAGAGGAAGGGAGAGGAATAGAGTCAGAAACATCAATGAGAGAGAAACATCAATCAGCTGCCTCCTGCACACCTCCTACTGGGGATGTGCCCACAACCAAGGTACATGCCCTTGACCGGAATCGAACCTGGGACCCTTGAGTCCGCAGGCTGACGCTCTATCCACTGAGCCAAACCGGTCAGGGCTGAATTTTTGCTTTTAATTGTTAAAAACTTAAATGGCCATATGTAACTAGTGGCTTCCCTATGGGACAGAGAAGGTCCAGAACCCTGAACTGTTCTACAGATTCCAACTTTCAAGATACCTGCATTCTAGAATCCAATTGCTAAGATTCCAGCCTTCTAAGTGGCTAACATTCTAGGGTGCTAGGAGTCTGACATTTTAAAGAGCCCTATGATTCCATGGCCTGTGCTCTTCTGTCTTTCAGGGTCTGTCTGTGTGGCCCTTGCCGTCACCCATGGCCCAGTGGCCCACCTGGCCCATGCCCCCACCTGGTACAGCTCCACGTGTTGCCCCACTTTCAACTTGTGCCTCTGCAGGCGCAGCTCGGCCCGGAAGAGCAAGTGGGGTTCAGGCACTGCTTCCCGGAGATCCGACGTGTTGAAGAACATATATATGCTGTGTGAGTTGTGCTTGAATTTCTTATAGATTTCTAGGCAGAAGGAGTGGAGAAGGGGATGTCAGGGGTGTGGCAGTGGCAGGGGAGCTGATGCACCCCAAGTGTGAAGAGCATGGGCTCCAGAGCTGACAGCCTGGGTTGGAGTCCGACCCTGACCTTGGATGAGTGGCTTGCTCTCTCTGGGTTCGTTTCCTCCTCTCTAAAACCCTTCTCTTCCATCATCAGTCAAGTGCCCACTCAATACAGCCTGGCACCAAAGGTGTCAGCTTTGTTTGCTCAGCTCTTCCCAGTACTTGGAGCCTCAAATGCAAGTTCCATGGCAGTGTAGGGGCAAGGGCATTTGGAGCAGACCATGCCTCTGCTGCCTTGAGCTCTGTGACCTTGGCAAGTCCCATCCCTTCTTGGAGCCTCAGTTTCCTGCTATTCTTTGGAAAATGGCAACCACATCAAGCTCCCTGCCTTCCACCCCAGGGTCTCCTAACTGAAGTGCTGGTGTAACTCTGAGCAAGTCAGTTCCTGTGCCAGATTCTCACCTGTGACACAAGGATGGCTTGCAGGATGAGTGTGAAGTGAGATAAGGCAGATGAAGCACATGGCACAGGGTCTGCACACAATAGTCACCCTAATGTGTGTGTTAAAGACCTCCCTATTTGCCAGCTGCTATTCAAAGCATTTTGCATTTAAACATCACAACAATCCCATGAGGAAGATACTATTATTATACCCATTCTCTAGGTAGTAAAACAGAGGCACAAAGAGATCAAGTGATTTGCCCCAAAGTCACATAGCTAGGAAGCTGCAGAATGGGGATTCAAACTCAAGCAGACAGCTTCCAGACAACCCCTAAGCTAATGTGATCTTATTATTGTTGTTATTATCAATTGCTTCCTCCCTCAGCTGGTTAGAAAAGGCAAAGTTCATTCTAGGTAGGAATGGCCTGGGAGTGGGGAGAAAATTAGCAAGTGTTTTCTAGGCTATGAAAAGTCTGGGGTTGAGGTGGAGGGAACTCCGGGATGAACGGGGGCATCTGCTTTAGGCCTCTGCAGTGGGGAGGTAAAAACAGAGACAGGCTCTGAGAAATGTCAGAGGAAATCCCTTCTGTGGGCCCCCATCCTCTACTCATCCCCACTCGAGCCAGGCCAGTCCTGCCTCCTGCAAATAAGCACTATCTTGGCCCAGGGGTTACTCAGCAACCCCCAGAGGAAGGGAGACAGATAGGGAGGAAGGGAGAGAGAGAAAGGGCAGGGATCCACAGAGGGAGGGAGGGAGAGACCACAGAGACCAGGGACCAGACCCGGAGCGGTAGGAGGAGGTGTGAAGAAGTAGAGGCAGGAGATGGAGACTAATGAAGATGAGGGCGAGATGGAAAGACACACACACACACACACACACACACACACACACACACACTCGGAGAGGGACACTGGGTTTGGGAGCCAGAGGGAGAGGATTGAAGGTATCATTGTTAAATCTCTACAAAAAAGATGAAGCGGTTACGGAAAAGGTGAGGCAGATCTGTGAGGGGGATGGGCATCATTTGGCTGGAGCCACAATTGGGCAAAAGAATGGGCTGGGGACCCACAAGTCCAGCGCCCACGAGAGAAGGTGAAAGGAGGGGGACCGCCCCAAGTCGCAGGGCCACTTGGGACCCTTGGGTCCCCGCGTGGGCGCCGACGGGGCGGGCCCACGGTAGTCCCGCCCGGAACTGGGGTGAAGAGGGCGGGAGGCGCCGCCGCCGCCGCGAGGGCGGGGACCGGACCTGCCTCATCTCGCCCCAGGCTCCGCGCGCGATCCCCGCCCCCCGGGGCACGGGAAGGAAAGGGAAGAGGGCGGACGGGCGAGGCGGCCGGACGCTGGGGTTTCCCCAGCCTCGCGGGGAGGAACTGACACTGTGGGGTCTAGACTCTCAGCCTTTAGCTCTGTGGGGTCCTCCCCGCTCCGGACGCGCGGCTCCTCCCCCCGCGCGTGGCACCCACGTGGGACCTCCTCACCCCGACCTTGTAGATCGCACCTACCCACCTCTCCCCCTGCGCTCCACTCCTCGCTCAGCCCGCTCCCTTCCAGCCCGCAGCTCGGGGAGCTCGCTGCGGCCAAGGGCCCCGTTTATCTCTCCTTCACCCCCCCCCCCGTCCGCCTTTCCCACGCCTGTCTCCCCGCCTCTGTAACACTCCTTCCCGCGACCCAGTCTTCTAGGTTTCGTGGGGGCTCGCTTCCTCGCTGGCCTCCTCCTCGCACGTCCATCTGCGGAACCCGCAGGGCACCTCACCGCGCATCCCTGGCAGCCCCGCCCTCGCGCCCCTTCCTTCCCCGGATTCTCACCCCTCACCGCCCGGCTCTCTGCACCCCCCACCCCGCTCCTTGCACCCTCAGCAAGCGGGCCCACTCCGTTCCTCAGAACCTCCAAAGGCCTTAATGCTGAGGCTGGACTTCATCCTGCGGGTCCTGGGGAGCTAATCTTCGCCTAGCTTCTCTGTCCTTGGCTTTTCCCACCTCACGACCCCCGAGCTCCGCGTCAGCTCTCCCCACTGCCTCCCCCAGCCCCAAAGCGGCTCCCTCCCTGCAGCCCCCACCGCAAGACCCCCGACCCCAGGGCACCCCGGAGGCGAAGTCTTTTTCTACCCCCCTCCCCATGTTCTCTCCCACGAGGGGACTCCCCCGCGACCCCGGATGTCCCTGTCGCCTCCAGAAGAGGTCCATCCGCTCACTGTCTCCTCCTCTCAAGACCAGGCACCTGGTGGGTAGGAAGCTCAACCCTATTTATTCTCGGGGGGCGGGGGAGCCTCCAGCGTTCCCAGGGCCCCCCAAGTCCTCTTCCTCCAGCCAGCTTCCTCCCGGACCCCAGCGTGCCGGCGCCCCCCCTCCGCGCTCACCGTGGTTGTTGTCCACCGTCAGCACGCGGGTCAACTCCTTGGCGTAGTAGTCCGCCTCGGGCTCGGGCTCGGGCTCCGCGCTCTCCCCGGCCACCCGGTCGCGGGTGCTGTTGTAAAGGGCCATCACGGCCTCGGGCAGCGGGCCGGGCGGCACCTCCCCCGGGCTCGGGGCCTTGGTGAGACGCAGCTTGGACAGGATCTGGCCGCGGATGGCCTCAATGCGCTTCCGCTTCACCATCTCCATGTCGATGGTCTTGCAGGTGGACAGTCCGGCGGCCGGCCGGCCAGGCGTCAGCACTAGTAGCCACAGCAGCGGCAGCAGCAGCGGCAGCAGCCGCAGCCCGGAGGGCGGCATGGGGGAGGCAGCGCCCCCCGGCACTGCCGAGAGCGCGGGCCGGGCTGCCGTGGGGAAAGGGAGGCGCCGCTCCCGCTGGGGCTGGGGGTGGGGGTCTTCCGACGAAAGGTAGGAGAGTCAGAGGGTGAAGGGGGTGGGGGGGAAGATGAGGTCCAGGGAGGAGGGAGTCCCGGTGAGCGGCTGCTGGTTGTCCTACGGAAAAACCCAAGGTGGAGCGATCTCGTACCAGAGGTGGGTGGTCTTGAACAGGGGAGCGGAGACAGGTCAGAGGTTCTGCTCGGATCCCGGAGGACAAGGGTTCTTGGACGTGGGGGCTCGTGGGAGAGGCTGGGGGTGGGGAGCGTGCAGGGGGTGCGCCCAAGGTCTTGGGTCAAGTCTTCGCGGTGGTCGGGTTCGCGTTTCCTGAGGGCTGGTCCGGAGTGGGGTGCCTGAGGGACGCCGGGGGGGGGGCGCAGGGAGGGAGCAAGCGTCCGAGGCAGCGAGGCGATCTGGGATCCCCGAGTCCTGTCTCCTCGCTGGGCAGCGTCGCGCCAAGCGGTCCCCGCGCCTGCGGCTCCCAGCGGCAGCGGAAAAGTCTCAAAACTTTTTTCCTCTCCTACCAGCTCGTCCCTCCTCCCGCTCCTCCTCCCCCCTCCCCACGGCGGCGGCGGCGGCGGGGGCGGTTCGTCTCAGACTCTGGGGCCTCGGGGCTGCTCCTTCCTCCGCTCCCGGCGGGTGGCTCCGAGCCGGGGGGGTGCCCCTAAGGGGGCGTCCCCCCTGCCCCCGGCCAGGGCCTAGCTGTCTGGTGGATCCGCCGCGGGAGGAGGGAGTGGGGCGGCCCGGGGCGCGAAGGGCGGCGGCAGCGAGGGCAGCGAGGACCGGCTAGAGTGGCGGGGGGTTTTGAAGCCGCCCCAGCCCCACCCAGGAAGCGCTCGGGGCGGGGGCGGCCCCCGGGGGAGGGCAATGGGGGGGGCCTGGCCACGGTCCTCAGCTCGCGTGGGCGGGCTCCGAGGGGGGTCCCTTAAGCCACCCGGGAGGGGGCGGGCACCCCGGCCCCGCCCCAAGCAGGGTGCTGCCTCCTGGTGGCTGACAGCTAGCAAAGCGGATGCGTGTGGCTAGGATGGCTACGCGGGATTGGGGGGGGGGGGGGCGGGGATGGGGTGACGGAGAGAACGAAGACCTGGCGGGGAGGGCTCAGTCGGAGGATAGGGACCCAGAGTACAAGGGATCCGAAGAGGGGACCCAGAATGGAGAGAGTGGGAGACTGGGGCAGAGGGGCCCAGGGGCACAGAGGAGGAAACCCCCACAAGGAGAGGGGTCATAAGGAGGCACCCAGAGTTTAAGGCAAAGATGGGGCACCGGCCAGCTGACAGGTCAGGAATTCAGGAAGGCACCCACACTGGTCAGAACTGATCTTTATTTAGCACTTCCATGTGTGAGGCTGCCTCTTCTCCCCAAACCCCTGGGACCCCACATACTTGCTGCCCCCATTTCACAGATGGGGAAAATGGACTTCGGAGAGAGAGGTACTGGGCTTGCGGTGCTGGCCAGACAGAAGCTGCCCCAGGCCTCCGCTGGGTAGGGTAAGGTAGTCTCCAGAGCCCATGTCTCTGACGACTGCACCATCCTACCCCTTACGGGTGCCCAGGGGTGTGGATGGGCCATGGAGGCAGGTGCCTCAGCATTCCACGCCATAGCGGTCAAAGTGACGCAGCAACAGGCCCAGGTCCAGGTGCACGGTGCCACCAGCGGCTGTATGCAGGCGATAGCGGTCGGCCCCACTGTAGATGGCGTCCCCATGCAGCAGCTGAGGCCCACCACCCACGAAGGCCCGTGCCAGCTGCTCCCGCCAGCTGCCCAAAGGCCGCCATGTGGGACAGTCCAGCTGGTGAGTGCCTGGACTGCTGGGCACGTGACAAAAGCCGTAGCCGGCAAGCTGGCAGCGGCCGAAGCTATCCTGGGACCACACCTGGAAATGAAGTCGGGGCCAGCCTGCAAGACAGGAGAGAGGGATGGTGCAGCCAGTGTCTGGGCTCAGTCCTCTTCCCTGGCGTCTGCCCCAGCCTCCTCTCTGGACTCCCACTCCCACACAACAGCCAAATGGATATTTCGGAATACATATTCCTCCCCTGCTCAAAACCCTTTCATGGCTCCCCAGTGCCTTCAGAATAAAACCCAACCTCAACACTCAAGGCCCTTGAGATCAGGCCTCTGCTGAGCCCCTCTCTTGTCCATGTTCCCATCTCCAGGGAGCCCAGTCCACAGGTGAGCGAGCACCTTGAGCCTTGTCCTAGACCTGTCCCCCATTCCCACCCTGTCCTGTCTGGGTTCAGGGACTTCTTGTCCCCTCCAGTTCACCTTCCTCCTGGCATCTGGAAGCATCTTTCTCTTCCCGCCAGTCCCCAAGTGTCCTAAGAATACAGCTCAGCTCCTCAGCTGGCGGCAAAGCCTTGGAGACCCAGCCTCATTTTACTCTCCTTTCTGAGGCCCTCTGTGGTTGGCCCTGTTCTACAAGCTGGGGACACAGAGGTGAACATAGCAGATCAAAATTCCTGCCCTTGTGTAGCTGACATCCTAGACAACGAGCATAGTAAATAAGCAAATTATAGGGTATGTGAGATGGTGATAACTGCTCTGGAGAAAAATAAAGCTAGGTAGGGTGGGGGTGGGATGCAGTGTTAGAAAGGGGATGATCAAGAAAGGCTTCACTAAGAAGGGGCCATGTGAGTGGATGTTTAAAGGAGGGAAGGGAGTGGGCCATGGAGACATCTCGGGAAGAGCATGCCCAGCAGAGGGAACAACGTGTGAAAAGGCCCTGGTGGGAGCTGCCTGGTGGGACCAGTGGAAGAGTGAAAGGACAGTGCCTGCCTGCCTCACCCTCCAACCCATCACCCACAAGCAGCCAGAAGGGTCTTTTAGAAGCAAAATCTGACTTGTCAGTCACCTGCTGTGGCTCCCCAGTGCCCTCAGGGGATGGCCTCAGCTCAGTGGCCTGGGATTCAAGGCCCTGCATGGCCTGTCCCCTGTCCCCTGCCACCTCACTCCTGCAGTCCTCCTGCTCTCCCTCCATCCTCCAAATGCCCTAGTTCACTTTACCCCTTGGGCTTTCCCTCTTCCTTCCCTCTGTCTTATTAGCTCCCACTGGTCTCTCACAGCATCTCAAACATCCACTCTTCCAGGAAGCCCTCCCTGAACTCCCTGGCAGTCAGGAGCCTCCTCTTGGCTCCCATAGTCCCCCAGAACTCCCCATCCCATCCTTGCCTACTCTGGGCTACCACTGTCTGGGAACAGCTCTGCCTTCCCATGGGATGGTGAACCCTGTGAGGACAGGGCTAGGAGCTGTCTCAGTCACCGACACCTCCCCGGCATCACTCGTCATAGGGCATGTCCTCAGTAACTATTATTTATATTGTTGAAATATATGGCATATTTACCTAGGCTATTTCCTGGAATTCACTCCTCTCCAATGACCCAAATTTTCCACCAGAAAAGATTTTCTGATACCTTCCTCCCCCGCAAACTCATTTTTCCTCTGAACAGCAGAGGAGCCCTGCCTGGGGACAGCCACTAGCCCTCCCTCCCTCCCTCTCATAAACCCTCCAGCTTCCTTTTGATGGAAGACTCTCTTGGTTTCTCTCTTTGAAAGCCATCCCTCATCTCCCCTTGGTCCCCACCTTCCCCTCTTCCCGTCACCCCTGGCCTCTGACACACTCTAGTCCAGGGGTGGGCAAACTTTTTGACTCGAGGGCCACAATGGGTTCTTAAACTGGACCGGAGGGCCGGAACAAAAGCACGGATGGAGTGTTTGTGTGAACTAATATAAATTCAAAGTAAACATCATTACATAAAAGGGTACGGTCTTTTTTTTTTTAGTTTTATTCATTTCAAACGGGCCGGATCCGGCCCGCGGGCCGTAGTTTGCCCATGGCTGCTCTAGAGTCAGCCATGGGAGGCCTCAGCTGAGTCTCTCCAGGGCCAGGCCTGGCCAGGAAAGGGACCCAAAGGGCAGGGAAGCAGGGACAGGAGTTGGTGTTCTCAGTCCCATGGAGTGTTGCTAACTCCCCACACCCCCCACCCCCCTATCCGGTCCCCTCAGCCTGGCACAGGGCCGACACGAGAACGCACCTTGGAGGCCTTTGGTGGCAAAGTGCAGGTCAATGGGGTGGGACCAGTAGGCCATGTCCCCTATTTGGGGGGTGTCCACCTGTGTTTGGCCCTCCCGTACGCCGGACAGGAGCTTCCATGCCGCCCCTACAATGAGAGCCAGGACACTAATGAGGCAGGGAAGGGTGGGAGGCAGGCATCAGGAAGGGTATGCCAATGTGGCTGTGAGACCGTTTCTTCTAGCGCTGGGGGACAGGGGGTACAAAGTGTGGGCTCTGGGGCCAAAGGGCTGGGTTCAGATCCTGGCATGGCTTCTTCCTGCCTGCACACACTTGGGCAAGTTACCTTTTCCTGCCTCAGTCTCCCGATCGGTCAAGTGGGTTTAATAATGCATTCCTTGTCATTTTGTGAGCAGATTAAATGAGCTAATACACACAAAGCACTTAGAACAGTGCCTAGGGCGTAGTAAGTGCTGGATAAGTGTTGGGTATCGTTTTGTCACTATTCTCACACTGCATTTAGAGGCCTAGTCCAAGGACTAAGATGGGACCAAGGGTGCCCTTCGACAAAAAGCATGAACGCACTGTGAAAGGCACATAATAAGACCAGTCCTACTGAGGGTGATAATAATAGCAAAACGCACCGATTGCTTACCAAGTGCCAGACCCTGTGCTAAGCACTTTAGTGATGAGTCCATTTAATCCGCCCTCTAGGACTTTTAATCCCACCCCACCCCCAGTCTACACTCTCCCCATAGCTTCCAAAGCCCTATATCTGGCCTTTGTCCCCCTTCCTGCACTCATCTCCTATCACTCTCCCCATCCCTCACTACCTCTAGCCTCACTGATCCTGTTTTTTTTTTAAAAAAATATATTTTTATTGATTTTCAGAGAGGAAGAGAGAGCTAGAAACATCAATGATGAGAGAATCATTGATTGGCTGCCTCCTGCACGCCCCCTACTGGGGATCGAGCCTGCAACCCAGGCATGTGCCCTTGGCCAAAATCAAACCTGGGACCCTTCAGTCCACAGGCCAACGCTCTATCCAGTGAGCCAAACCGGCTAGGGCTGATCCTGTTTTTATTTCCTTTCTTGCACCGGCTGTTCCCTCTGCCTGGGAAGTCTGCTCCTGGATGTCCCCATGCCTGGCTTTTATTCATCTTCCAGGGATCAACTCAAATGCCACTTTTACAGAGGGGTTCTCCCTCACCCTTGTATCCAAAACTAATCCCTGTTACATTATCTCATCTAATTTGTTCTGAGTATCTGCCACCATCTGTAATCATCACAGTCATTTCTTTATTGCTTATTTATTTTGTCTCCCCTCCTGTGAGCCCCAGGAGAGCAGGGATATTGCATACTACTGGATTCCCAGGGCCTCCAAACCAGATCTTACTAGTAGTATACAGAAGGTGCTCAAAAAATGTTTGTTGGACAAATAAGGGGGCCTGGGAGGTGGGTGCTAATATAAGCCTCACCTTACAAGTGACAGACTCTGAGAAGGAAAGTCACTTGTCTATTCATTCCATGAACATTTATTGAACACCTACTGTGCGTCAAGCACTGTTCTCCACATGGGGTACAGCAGGACTGCAGCAGACCAAGGTGCCACGGTGAAGCTGGATTCAGACTGAGCTCTGTCAGACTACAGAGTCCAAGCCCTTTATCTGACTGCCTCTGAGCTTGCTGCTGGATTAACTGCCCCTCCCCAACAGCCCCCTGAACTGTTGAGTTACTGTTCTCTCTGATTCAGGCAAGGAAAGCACCAGGCCTTGAGTCCGGCTTTACACATACAATATGTCCCACTTTACAGATGAGGAAACTGAGGCTCAGAGAAGGGACAGCACCTGCCCAGGGTCACAGGGCAGATGGGGCCCAGACTGGAAACCAAGTCTGACTCCAGGGCTGCCTCTTCATGTGCTCAGCTGGAGGACCACAATTTCCCAGGGAATCTCAACCACCACCAAGGACCCGGGGCCTGCAGAGATAAGGACAGCAGTAGCCACACTCGTTCCATGTGCATTTATCTGTTGGGCAACATACCCAGAGCTTTACAAACAAGACCCCATCCAATTTTTACATGAGCTGGGTAAACACTTACTGAACACTTACTAGGCCAGGTCCTCTCCTAAATGCCGTTGTTATTCATTTAGTTCGCACAATCACCCCATGAGGTAAGTATTGTTATTATTACCATTGTACAGACAGGGAAACTGAGGCAAAGACAAGTGCCCAAAGTCACGTAATTAATAAACAACTGGTTTTGAACCCAGGCAGTTTGTGCTCTTAACCTCAGTATGTGCTGCCTCTCAGCTATTAGCTTTTCAGACAAGGAAACTGGGACTCAGAGAGGTTAAGTTCACAGGCCCCACTTTAACCAATGGGAGAGTTAGTGTTTGAGCCCAGATCTGGTGGCCCTAACCATTACACATACCACCACACTATTCTGCCTCTGCACACTGGGAGACATGCACACTGGGGTCTCTGAGGTCCTCCCTGGGCCATATGGATGGGCGTGGATGATTACCAGAACAGGTTCCTCCCTTCTCACACAGAATTATGCACAAGAGGGTGGCCTTTCCTCTGTAAATCTGGAATGGAAACTTCCATTTTACAGTGAGAGTTCAATAAATGGAGACTCTTAAGCAAAGAATTAAGACAGGGGAGGGACCCAGGACACCCCTAGGGCAGTGAATGAAGTCCAAACCATGGGATTAAGGCTGTCTAGTGTTCTGAGGATTGGGAGTGTGTGTGGGGGGTCTAGCCTATAGCCCCATAACCTTGGGGGCTGTGTGTTCAGAGCAGGAGCCAGAGCCCCCAGAGATGGGATGGAAAGGGATAAGCCGGGAGCATGAGACACATGGACACAGTATGGTCAGGGCCAGGAGTCCTGAGAGCCGATGGGAGGTGGGGCTCAGAGGCGGGGCCAGGGGGTCAAGGAAGGAGGTGGAGCCTCTAGGCTGGTATTCAGTGGGGAATGAGCCAGGTCGGGAATACCTGTGTGGACGCCCCACTTGCAGAAGAGGCTACTTTCCGAGAAGCCGGTGGCCCCCACGATCTGCCCGATCACGTGCACTTCAGCCATAGCCCTGAGAGGGTAAAAACAGAGTCACAGCCCTGTGAGGTGAGTGTACTGTTATTTCCACCTGACAGATGAGGAAACCGAGGCCCTCCAAATAAGGAACAGTACTAGGATGGCAGAGTAGTTTCGCCAAACCACTGAGTGTGGGGTCTTAACGCGATCCTAAATGCCTCTCCAGGGGAGCCCGGAAAATAGAGGGGAGGAGGGCCGAGCTGAAGAGCAGGCACCTAACTCCACAACTTCCAGCTCATAACACAGGGAAGCCCCGCCCAGGGCCAGTGGCTCCACCCCCACCAGCGCAAAGGCTCCAACTCCGCATGCGTCCTAAGACCTGGCGCAAAGCCCCGCCTCCAGGCGTACGCATGCGCTACGCCTACTTCAGAACCGCTAACAGGAGGCGCGAAAGCGGCATCGGGACTGGAGTTGATGGACCTGACCTGTCCCTCTCTCCACCGGCGCTGCCTTCCCGCGTGGCTCGCGCTCTCCCGCGATCTTTCCGGCAGGGAGAGACCCGCGGCGCCGCGATCCCTCCCAGGCCGCGACCGCCTTCGTTCTCCCGGGTGGTTGCTGGGGCAACAGCAGCCTCCTCCCCTGGCCTCGCACTCGCCCTGCGGGTCGCTAATTGGCCCTCGCTGTCCTCGGGGGCGGGGCCAAACTCTGATGGACGTTCTCGCCCTTCCCGCTCTCCATTTTGGGAAAAGGGTCTCTCCAGCCGCTGGGGGCGTGGCCGGGCAGCCGCCATCTGAAGCGCGGCTGACGAAGTCTGAGCGCCGACTGTTTCTCCCAGCTGCCCTCTTCCCAAAATCACCCACTGATGCCTCGCGACCCCCAAACCTCCCCTCAACGGGGACCTCAGAGCAGAGGTGTGAGCCAGAACCAAGGGGGGCTCTCCCTCAGCAGAGTGCACCCTCTTGCCTCATAACTAGAAAAAAATCCTTCCTCATTCACAGATACCCAAGAAGCGGGGAGGGGTTTTCCTTCTTTTATTTTTAGAGTTCCCCGGGCTTCGTGGGACTGATGATCCAACTTCCTTCTCAGAAAAACTGCGCAGCTCTTCACGGTGCTGATTCTGAGCGAGGATGGGGCTGGGGGATGGGTGTGAGAAATGAGGAACTGGGGCCTCCTTATCTGCAGAAAATCCGTTCTAGAAACTGGACTCTGCCAGTAACTTGTCTTGTGACTGCGTGGCTCTGGGTTTCAGTTTGCTCATCCGTGTAATGGGCACAAGGAGAGGGACTGAGCCCGGCACTCGCACGTCTGACCTCCCGGAGCGGTTCCTGGGTCCCTTACGCTCCTGGAGCCCGAAGGGCCAGAAATGGGGCTACAAAAGGATATTGCACTGATACGTATACTTGAAAGCTACCACGTATTGAGTTATTTCTTTGTACCAGTCCCCCGGAAACTGATGGTTTTGCATGTACCATCTCCTTTAATCCTCACAGACATCCCGACAGGTAGGTAATATTATCAGCTTTATTTAAAATGAAGAAATTGGAGCCATAACCGGTTTGGCTCAGTGGATAGAGCGTCGGCCTGCGGACTGAAAGGTCCCAGGTTCCATTCCGGTCAAAGGCATGTACCTTGGTTGCGGGCACATCCCCAGTAGGGGGTGTGCAGGAGGCAGTTGATCGATGTTTCTCTCTCATCGATCTTTCTAACTCTCTATCCCTCTCCCTTCCTCTCTGTAAAAAATCAATAAAATATATTTAAAAACAAACAAAAACAACACACATTCCCCTGCACCTGGAGACCAGGACAGCACAATTACTTTAAATTGCTTCAGTGGCTCCAGAAAATGTGTTTCCGTTGACTCAGTGGTCTCAAGACCTGAAACTATAATTAATCTTTGTAGATAACTAACTTGCTCAATCTAGCTGCTGTAACAAACTGCTTTTTGCAAATCAGGTTCCTCATTCCAAACCTTGAGATGTAATCAATACCTTTGTGATATTTGCCTATATAAGTCTGATGCTTCGGCCACTGGGCACTGCGAGATGTGGAGCCACGTCTCCCTTGCAGTCGCCGGCTTTATTGATTAAATGACTCATTGATTTGATCCTTCGTCCTGTGTGTTACTCGTGGGGTACATTACAACAATTTCTGTGTGTGCCCGGATGGGGATAGAACCCACAAGCAACCTTGGCATATTAGGATGATGCTCTAACCAACTGAGCAACCAGGCCAGGGCCTGAAATATTTTTTCTTCAATTGGTTTCTTCTATTGGTTGATATTAGTGACTAAGAAAAACTCCCCAGTTTGACTGCCTGGATTTCAGTCTTGGCTCTTCCCCTTCTGTGTGACCTTCAATACCTCAGTTTCCTCCTCTGTGAGAATGAACGATGGTACCCACCTTGTTGGATTATTGCCAGGAGTCAATGTTTTGGAGCTGTTTTAAAATATGTTCACAGGTTCTTTGAAACTCATCCTTTCACCAGGTGGAGCCTGACTCCTCTCTCCTTGGGTATAGGCTGCGCTAGGTAAGTTGCTTCTAGCCAATAGGATGTGGCAGAAGTGTTGCTAAGTGGCTTCCCAAACCAAGCCCTCAAAAGCATCCACCTTGGTCTCGCCCTTGGATAGTTTACTTTGAGGGAGGCAGCCATCATGATGTAACAACAGTGAAGCCGGCAATGGGGAGACAACAGCCAGCACCATGTGAGTGACCCATCGTGGAAGCAGATCTCCCAGCCTCAGACAGATCTTCAGATGACCACTACGTCGGCCAACATGCTGACTGTAGCTTCAGGAGACACCCTGAACCAGAACCCTCAGCTAACCCATCGCCAGGTTACTGACCTACAGAAACTATGTCAGTGATAAATAATTGTTTTAACCACTAAGTTTGGGGAGATAATTTGTCACCCAGCAATAGATTACTAATACAAATACGTAATGAATTTAGGACAGTGCCTGGCACATAGGAAGGACAATAATGTTGCTATTATTGATGATTTTTGTTATTGTTACTGAAATGGCATATTTTACACATTTTTTATAAGAAGCACACTGAATATTTATTTATGTATTTTTTATTTTTAACTTTTAAAACTTTGTAGTAAAATACACCTAACAAAATTTACCATCTTAACCATTTTTTTTTTTAAAGTGATTCCAGAGAGGAAGGTTGAGGTAGAGAGAGATAGAAACACCAACGATGAGAGAGAACCATCGATCAGCTGCCTCCTGCATGCCCCACACTGGTATTAAGCCCACAACCCGGGCACGTGCCCCCGACTGGAATCGAACCTGGGATCCTTCAGTCCACAAGCCGGTACTCCATCCACTGAGCCAAACCAGTAGGGCCATCTTAACCATTTTTTAAGTCTACAGATCAAGTGGCATTAAGTGCATGTACATAATTGTGCAACTAATCTCTAGAACTATTTTTATCTTGCAAAATTGAAACTCTGTACCCATGAAAAAACAACTCCCCCTCTTCATTCTTCCCAGCCCCTGGTAACCAACCACCATTCGCTTTCTGTCTCTTTGAATTTGCCTACTCTCTGTACTTCATATAAGTAGAATCATTTAGTGTTTGTCCTTTTATGACTGGCTTATTTCATTTAGCCTAATATCCTCAAAAAAATCATCCATGTTGTAGCACATGTCAGATTTTTCTGCCTTTTATTTTTATTGTTTTAAGCTTTTGTTTTAAAATAGATATATATACATCTTTATTGATTTCAGAGAGGAAAGAAGAGGGGGAGAGAGAGAGAAACATCAATAATGAGAGAGAATTGTTGATCAGCTGGTTTCTGCATGATCGGGATCGAGCCCACAACCCAACTCGGGCATATGCCCCAACCAGGAATCGAGCTGTGACCTCCTGGTTCATAGGTAGAGCCACAATGGCTGGGCAGATTTTCCTGCCTTTTAAAGGCTGAATAATATTCCATTGTATATATACACTCCATTTTGTTTTACCACTCATCATGGATTGCTTTGACCTCTTAGCTATTGTGAATAAAGTTGCTATGAATATAGTTGTACAAATATCTCCTCAAGACCCTGTTTTCAGTTCTTTAGGGTCAATACCCAGAAGTGCAATTGCTGGGTCATATGGTAATTCTATTTTTAATGTTTTGAGGAACTACCATACTGTTTTCCAAAGTGAGTGTACATACTGTTTTACAGCTTGCTTTTTCATTCAGTAATGCATCTTGGGAATTTATCTATGTCTGTATTTAAAGATCTAATTTTTTTTTTAATATATTTTATTGATTTTCTACAGAGAGGAAGGGAGAGAGATAGAGAGTTAGAAACATCGATGAGAGAGAAACATCGATCAGCTGCCTCCTGCACATCCCCCACTGGGGATGTGCCCGCAACCCACGTACATGCCCTTGACCGGAATCGAACCTGCGACCCTTCAGTCCGCAGGCCGATGCTCTATCCACTGAGCCAAACCGGCTTTGGCAAAAGATCTAGTTTTTTAAAAATAACTGTTTTAAAGTACAATATATGTACAGAAAAGTGCACAAGTCATAAATGAAGAGCTGGATGAAATGTTACAAACTGAATTCAATAGGTGACTAGAACTCGGCTGAAGAAGAGAACATGAGCAGCTCCCCAGGATGATTGTCATGCCTCTTCCAGGATGCCCCCAAGGGCAATCACTAACTGGACTTCTAATATGGGTTAATTTTGTCTGTTTTTGTACTTTACATAAATAAAACCACAAAGTATCTATTGTTTCATGTCTGCTGTCTGCCCCGTTTTGTTTGTGAAATCCACCCACTCTGTTGCACGGGGCTGTATTCTTATTGCGGTATAGTTTTCTGTGTGTGAAGATGCTACAATTTATGTATCCATTTGTATGTTGTTGGGAATTTATCTTCTGGCAGATAAATGTTCACATCTGGTTGGAGTGGAATTGCTGGGTCGTAGGATATGTTCAAGAGTTTTCCTGGTGTTTGAACAAATTTCTAGTGTATGAGAGTTCCTCCTCCTTCACACCCTCACCAACATTTGGTGGTAGTGTTCTTTTTCATTTTAGCCATTCTGATGAGTGTGTATTGGAAATGCATTGTGATCTTAATTTGCATTTCCCTGATTACTATTTGAGTACCTTTATTTTTTTTAATTAAATCTTTATTGTTCAGATTATTATAGTTGTTCCCTTTTTTCCCCCCATAGCTCTCCTCCACCCAGTTCCCACCCCACCCTCTGCCCTTACCCCTCCCACTGTCCTCATCCATAGGTGCACGATTTTTGTCCAGTCTCTTCCTGCACCCCCACACCCCTTTCCCCCCAAGAATTGTCAGTCCATTCCCTTTCTATGCCCCTGGTTCTATTATATTCACCAGTTTACTCTGTTCATCAGATTTTTTATTCACTTGGTTTTTAGATTCACTTGTTGATAGATACGTATTTGCTGTTCATAATTTTTATCTTTACCTTTTCCTTCTTCCTCTTCTTAAAGAATACCTTTCAGCATTTCATATAATACTGGTTTGGTGGTGATGAACTCCTTTAGCTTTTTCTTATCTGTGAAGCTCTTTATCTGACCTTCAATTCTGAATTATAGCTTTGCTGGATAAAGTAATCTTGGTTGTAGGTTCTTGGTATTCATCACTTTGAATATTTCTTACCACTCTCTTCTGGCCTGCAAAGTTTCTGTTGAGAAATCAGCTGACATTCGTATGGGTACTCCCTTGTAGGTAACTGACTGTCTTTCTCTTGCTGCTTTTAAGATTCTCTCTTTATGTTTTGCTCTTGGCATTTTAATTATGATGTGTCTTGGTGTGGTCCTCTTTGGATTCCTTTTGTTTGGGGTTCTCTGCGCTTCCTGAACTTGTAAGTCTATTTCTTTCACCAGGTAGGGGAAGTTTTCTGTCATTATTTCTTCAAATAGGTTTTCAATATCTTGCTCTCTCTCTTCTTCTGGCACCCCTATAATTCGGATGTTAGTGCACTTGAAGTTGTCCCAGAGGCTCCTTACACTATCTTCATCTTTTTGGATTCTTTTTCTTTTTGCTTTTCTGGTTGGGTATTTTTTGCTTCTTCGTATTTCAAATCTTTGACTCGATTCTTGCGATTCCCTTGTCTACTGTTGGATCTCTGTATATTATTCTTTATTTCAGTCAGTGTATGCTTAATTTCTAGTTGGTCTTTTTTCATATCCTCCAGGGTCTCACTAAATTTATTGGCGATTTCTAGAAAATTCTTGAGAAAACTTATAACCGTGGTTTTGAACTCTATATCCAGTCATTTGCTTTCCTCCATTTCTGTCATTTGTGACCTGTTTCTTTGTCTCCACATTTTTTATGCTTCCCTGCGTTGGTAGAGTGGCTTTGTGTGCTAGGTGTCCTATAGGGCCCAGTGGCTCAGCCTCCCCAATTACCTGAGGTGGACACTCTTGGTGCACCCCTTTGTGGGCTTTGTGCACAGTCTTGTTGTAGTTAAGCCTTGATTGTTGTAGGTATCACTAGGAGGAATTGACCTCCAGGCCAATTGGCAGTGAGAATCAGCTGTGTCTGCAGTGGGAGAACTTC